GCTGGTGGGGAACCTTTGGGAACCTATGGCCCTCCCAGATATTGTAGGGTGACATCTCTCATCATCACTGGCAGAGGAAGGGGGTGCAGGGGGTGCAGTCGGCCTCAGGTTTAATCCCTGAGGGGGGGAGACATCCCCGCCCCACCCCAGGACGCTTTCCCCGCCCCGGGTGCACAGCATATGCGCCGCTCCAGGTGCCAGAGCAGCTAGCTCTGCCTCTGCCCATCATCCCTGATCATTGGGCTTTGCTGGCTGGAGCTGATGGGAGTTGGAGTCCAGCCACACTGGAACAGGCACATGCTCCCCACCTCCTAGGTCAGTCAGTTAGAGTGGGGTGCTGATAACATCAAGGTTGCGGGTTCGATCCCCGAATGGGACAGCTGCATATTCAGGCTGGACTAGATGATCCTCAGGGTCCCTTCCAACTCTATGATCTTTATCTCTGTGCCAAACAAAGGCCTAGGTAAGAGTCCCTAGAATAGTGCCTGAATTGGACTATTGTTTGCTTAAGTAAATCTAAAGATGTATAGATTTTATCATTCAACAAAATGTTTGATTGTGATGAAAGGGCACAGGATGGAGCATTACATTGGTTATCATTAGTATGGTGACCATTCTGGAACGAAACTTTCAAAACCAGACTGATAGTGGCATGGTGAAAATTAGCTGTGAGGTGGGCATGTGGAGAAGTAATCATATGACAGTTTCACCAGAGGTCAAACTTGTCCCACCAAATTCTCCATACCAATTTGGCTGTGTGGACGTTGGCTCTAATGTACTTTAACTGACCTTGATTGTACTTGCTTTCAGTTGGGTCCTTATTATATCTCGTGGGCTTTTATAGATTTGCAAATCTAAAAGTCTGCTTAGGCAGACAGTTTCATTTTATACATAGACAACACAGCTTCAACAAATTTATCACAGAATAAACTGTGGGCTCTGCTACACGGTTTATTTCCTCATTCAGTTTTTGTCATAATTTGATTTTTGCATTGCAGGACGCAGCCAGACATTAGTGGAAGCAACCTTGTCATTTATTCATTGAGGTAACTGCTTTTTCTTCTGGTTCTATCAGGTCAACAGTTAACATTTTCTCTCTCCTTGAAATGCCCCTTTGGCTTGGCTGAGATGTATCATAGATCAGCGTAGCTTCCAGGACATTAAAACATTAGTCATCAATTAGTTTTAAACTCCTGCTATAATAATATATCATTTATCTAGCCTGCTGTGGCATTTTTGTGAACATTTAATTTTTTCCCCTTAAAGGGCATCTTGGTTTTCCTTTCAAGCTCACTGCTACATCTTTTCTTTGTCTCCCATACAGACACCATCTCCTTAAGGAACAATAAAAATTAGATTTGTTTGACCTGCACTGGGGGTTCATTTAAGCAGGATGGATTTAATTGCTCTGCCTGGTCTCCCAGACAACTTTTATGTAATATTCCAGACATTTACGCACTGTCTTTTGCGTGGCTACAAGCAGGTGCATTTGACCAAGGATAGATGCCTATAAAGCAGGCCTTACAATTCATTGTCCATCTCCTTGGTAGTCCTCTGGGAAATTGCTGTACTCTTGAGTTAGCACTGGGATCTCATTAAGGGCTCACATCATTGCCATGTCCTGGTTCCTAATAACATTTGCTTTTCTCTTTAATGCTCAAATTTATAGTGCAATTAAAGACATCAATACAGATGCCAATCCTTGTGTGACAATTCTTAAGCAATACTTCAGTATTTTCCCTTGCAATGAACCAGCCCTAAATATTATGGCATTTATTGCCCTGATTCTGTACAGTCCTCACTTCACTTGGACATCTTATATTTCATATCCTTGCCTACCTGCTCTCCATTATTAATCTACACCACAGCCCCGTGTTCATCTTTTTTGCTTTTACCTAAAGTACTTTTTACCTACAGCTTCCCCGGAAACACTGAGTCCAGTTTCCCTTATGTTCCTACATGCGCCACCATTGACCCAGTCATTTTCATATAGTACTAAAAAAAGAGGGAGGTGCAATAGTGTATTGCAACTGCTAAGCAAATGCAGGACTCCGTTTCTCAAGATTGATGGCTGTTGCAAGATCTTAGGCAGGGGCAGAGGAAGGGGGTGCAGTGGGGGCGGGCCACCCCAGGTGGCACCACTGAGGGGGGTTACAAAATGCCAGTCTGCCCGCCGCCTCCCCCTCAGCTGTAGGGCAGCTAAGTGGAAGTAGGCAGGCAGACTGTTTCCTGCTTGGCAGGGGGTTGGACTCGATGGCCCTTGTGGTCTCTTCCAACTCTATGATTCTATGATTCTGTGACTCCTCAGAGGCCCCGCAGAGCGTCCTGCCCCAGCTTGCCCCACCCCCGTGGGTGGCTGGCCTTGCCCCTGGGTGCAGGGCACACGCGCCGCCCCAGGAGCCTTATTGGCTTCCTCTGCCGCTGATCTTAGGAGCTGGGTGCTTGCCACACCCTCCCAAACTGTTTCAAAACTGTCTCCTTTGTCCAAAGGAGACAATGGGTCGGCCATGGAGTCTGCATACCTTGCTGTCAATTATGAGTTTGACATAAGTACAGCTGTGTATTTTGTTCTCTTCTCCTGTTCTTAATGCATTGGGGTTGGGTTGCCTATAAGCTGCTAATGCTCTTGTTGAAAGTGCTGAAAAATCTCTAAATTCCTTTGATTATGTCCCACGCCCCTTAAAATGCACTCCATGCAACTGGCAAAATAAAATAAGAGACATCTAATAAAATCAAATATAGCTGGGTCCACCTGTGCATGCTAGTGAAAGTTAAGACCTTTCATACTAAATATATAAAATGGATATGTATCTTTAACTCACTAGCATATGCTGGGCAGCAAAAGCAGTTTAGAACACAACAAACACACATACCAGAAAAAGCAACCAGTGATGATCCAAAAGGCATGGATGGTTAATGAAGGCATTTTCCCTCTACCACATATTCAAACTCCCTGGTAACCCCCATGATACAAAAACTCACATATATTCCAGAAAGGACTGGCAATGTATAAGCAGGTCAGCAGGAGACTGAGAGAAATAAAACAGGGGTAGGGCTTGAAAAATCACAGCTGTAGCAATTCTGCCATTCCCATCAGACACCTGAGATAAAGGGAGGATTTGGTTTGGTTTGTGTCTAAAGATGAATTTCCGTACTCTACATTTTCCAAAATAATATGTGAATCAAAACAATCACACTTTAAACTATACATTTCTCCAAATTTTGCAATGCAGTTCTCCTGCTATGTCATATGCATTAAGATGCATTTACTAGAATAAAGCGTGCATATATTGGCAGACATACAAACATGCATTATATCAGGGGGAATTACAAAAAAATGTCTATATTGGGCAAAATTGCATACAAAAATGTGTATAAGAGGAGAAAATTGCTCTAAAATGCTGGCGAATTCGGTGGCGGACCTTCATGCTCCGGCACTGGGGGGCGGAGAGCAGGCGGGGGCAGGGCTGGTGCGCATCCTGAGGGCATGGTGCACCACCCATAGGGGCGTGGTGCCCAGCGCAGGTGGGGGGCAGCCATGATGGCACCCCGCCAGGATCGCGCTGCCAGGGGGAGGTGCGCTCTCCTCCCCCACGTCTCTTCCTCCGCCAGTGGGCGAATTTTCAAGAGGATTTTCTAAAATAAAAAAAATCACAAACTGATATGGAAATGTGGACAACTGAAAATTAGAAAAATGAGAAACAGACCAACCAACATTGACAGATTCATTCATCACTAAGCAAACGCTGATCACATATAGATGCTGGGTTCAGAGGGAGAAAAACAACAACAAAACCATTGGTATTTAATACTTTCACTTCAGGAACTCTTAACATAATGCATGAATGGAAAGATTAAGAACTGTGGCAATCCAAAGCAACTCTATTGAAATAATGCAACCTTTGTATCTGTTATCTGAGGATCTTGACTGTTTCTCAAAGTCTATTTCAAAGCAAAGTATTAGCTCGAAGTAAGCAAGGCATTGTTGCTGCATGAATGCATCTATCTCATAGCATATGTGCCAATAGCCTTGAATTTGCCTTTGTTTTTGTTTCGTTTTTAAGTAATGCAAGACCTTGAGAGATATTTAGGCCTGGGAAAAAGTCTATCCTTTATCCTTAGTGGAATTGAAGTTCTCTTCTGGGCTCCACTACATTGACACCATTCAGGTTTACCCTCTTTTGCTTTCCACAAAATCATATCAACAAGGAGTCTGGTGTATCTTAATGACTAACTCATTTTATTATAGTGTTCATGGACTTCAGCAGATGAATGAAGTGTAATCCTCTTCGCTTGTTTGTGTGTGCACATACACACACAGATGTAAGGCTGGCATCATACTGAAACTTCTGTTGCTGCTGATGTTGTCTATTAACCCGAAAACATTCTTTTTTGTAATGCGTTCCTCCACCCGAAACACCCCAACATTTCCTATGTTTAGTGGCTACCTATGGCTACCAGTGGTGAAGGAAAGCCACTCTGAATATGGTCAAAGTCACTCTCCATATTGTTATACAAGACCCTAGAACTGAGCTCCGGTTAAAATTTTTTGGATGGAAGCATTTAAGCCCTAACTATAAAGGCTCTGTAAAATCCCAGCTAATTGTGTAGTGGCTGCACTATAACATTTCCACACTATTGATAACATTCAAGGAATGGGCCTAAAAGAGCCTGTGAGTGCAAACTCTTCACACCCATTAAAACTGTACAAAGATCCGCTTCTCTGTTGGAAGACATATGATACAATCTCTGAGTTAAAACATTATTAAGAGTATCATAAATGGCAGGTTATTAGAAAAGGGATACAAAGAAAAATGAACCCCCAGCCATGGGAGAAAGGGAAGAGAAACAGCTGCCTTAAATATTCCACACTGACTTTATAAAAGAAAAGAAAAAAACTGGTCAGCTGCCAATTGTCCTTCCCACCTTAGAGAGCATTTGGAGTTGAAGGGAATATAAACAAATCTTTCCATTCTTTGTAATTAATGGTTGATCCAACTTGGTCTCCAGATGCGAGAATTTCAGTATTTGATTTGAACTTGATATGGCACCAATAGGGTGCGTTTTTTAATTATTATTTTCTGTTTTCTTTAAACTACACCCCCATTGTTGTTTAGTGTGCTCTTATGCAGTTCACATGGGGGAAAGCATGTCGTGCCATATGGAAAATGTCAACCGTGTTTTTTTTTCTTCTAAATAGGGTTCATTCATTCACACCCCTCCTTCAGCGGCTGCAGGACGATGGAAGAAAGTGGAAAATAGAATGGATTTGTATTAACATCACACAGACTCAGGCCAAGTTTAAACTTTTAAGAACACTTTTATGTTAAATATAATGGAACGCTTGAATGTTTATTAAAAAAACCAACTCATTGAAATATAGAGTGTGCCACAGGGCTGAGAGTTCTCACCCTCAAGACTATACCTTCTTCATCATAAATTCCTCCCACTTGCTTTAGTCACATGGAGCCAGTCACATTCTGTGTTGCTGCTTAACTATGAGTCTCAGTAAGAATTTAAAATAACTTTATATGTGTACAATCCCTTTGGGCGAAACCTAGGTGGTATAGCGGGTAAGATCCATGATCAGATCTCCAGACATTTTTTCCTTTGCTTGGAAGAGGGCATGATGAGAACTTAGGAAGAGCCTTGTTAGATCAAACCACAGGCCAATCAAGTCTAGCAACGTTTTCTCACAATGACCAACCCATACCCTCCAACATCCAGCAGAGGAAAATTGGGACGCATGCCTTTTAGAGCCATGCTCTTGCCAGAGGACTCGTGCAAGAACCTGCCCCCCCAAAGGGTGTCTTTCAGGGCACTGCTCTTGCGGCAGCCAGGTGACTCGTGTCAGAGCATGGCCCTCAAAATGAGGTCACACTCTTGCAGGAGCCAAAACAGGACATCCTGGGATGCAATCAGAAGCCGGGGTGGCTTCTGTAGTTCTGGGATGTCCTGCTCAAAGCAGGAGAGTTGACAGGTATGCCAACCATGTTAAGTATAATTGTTTAAATGTACAACGACATGGAAAAAGACTCTGTATGTGTATTGCTAATGGTTTAACATTGGAAAATTACATTGAGGTAAGCCAGAGCTCTGTAAGTGCCTAGCAAGTTAATGGTTAGCTGTTAGTGTACCTCTGCTCTGCTCTCTGACATAGTGTTTAACTTACTTAGATCACATGAGGGGAGGTGTTCAGTTGCAAATCTCCATTTTAAGAGAGTTATCATTGTTCTCAAGCCACCAAAGACAAAGGTGTACAAATGATGTCCCTCCTGGAAAGAAAACAGCTCTAGGTTGTAATAGAGTCTGTGTGGGTTTTGATTTCAGTTCCCTTTTGGAGTAATTTTATATTTGTAAGATGCAGAACCTGTGATTGGACAAGCACATGATTTTATGTAACTATTTGGATGCATCATTATTGTTCTAAGTTTGTTTTGAAGAAAGTTCTGTTAGTAAAGCTTAGAAACTATATTTTTGGTCTGGACAATTTTTATTTCAGCAGCACTCTTCCTACTTATGCTCCTGGTATTCAGCAACTGGTGTTCAGTATTCAGCAACTGATATCAGAGGCAGTATACAACCTTCTTGGCTAGTGGCCATTAATAAGCTTTACTCCACAATATGTTTGAGGAGGAAGTTTAATTCACCATGTGGTTACTTTTTTCACTCAGAAACTGCTGTAGTCTATGTCCTTCAGATATTTCATTCCAGGGTTAGTGGTGGCGGTCACCCATTAAAACCCTGTCTGTTATTGTACCCTGTCGTCATCACACAGTCATACATCTTCTATACAGTTAGGTGCAAGGCATGCCAATGACTGGGGCAAGGTACAAGATGATAACCTTCCATTGGCTGCACACACACACCAATTCCATATATAGAAGCTGAGGAGGACTGATAGTTGAAGCTTAACTGCAGTACTGGTGATGGATGGGACACCAATCCCGCACTGCATGTCAGGGCAAACGCCTAGCTTTAAGAGTGCAGGACAGACTACATAGTACACACATCACTTTTTCACCGCTCCCTTCCCTCAAGCATCTGCCGCCTGAGGCTGCCTTCTCATTCTACCTAATGGTAGGGCTGGGCCTGCTAATGTCTTCTATCCCCTGTTGCTTTAAATCCCACCAAGACTTGGATCCTAAGCAACAACTCCTGTCCTAAATCAATCCAATTTTGTCCCATTGTGCTTTTCTAAGATAAGGTTTTCTTCCCACTAAAGTCTTCCATGTGAAATCTGCATGTATTGGATCGTTTAGTCATGGCTTCCCACGGTGTGCTTGTCGTCATAAAAATAATGTTGCGTATTTGTTAGATGGCATGGTTTTATATGCAGGCTTCATGCCAATGATTACACAGAAGAGCTTTTTCCTGTAGAAATTTTGTGTTTTTACGACTGAAATCCAAAGGGACTAAAAGCATTAAAGTTTCAGGACCCTGCTAATGTGGGAGTTCACTGAGCACTGAATGAGTTTGAACTACCAAATGGTAAAATGGATTAAAATAAATTTTGTTTTGAAGAAGTGGAAACTCTGTGGGCTAGGAACCCTAAAACTACCCACCATAAATTTTTATCTGCTGGTGGGAAGGAAAGATAAAACAGAAGAAAATTGATAGAGGGTTATGAGAAGCAGTAAACAATGGACAGAGAAACAGGGACAAAGCTGGGAATGGAGCTGTAAAGTGGGAAAGGAAATCCCCCCATATTAATTCTGTAACAATTGCTTGTACATTTTTGGAGCCCAAACTGGATTCCAAGCCAGTTTTGTCACTCAGCCAGGGCAACTTTTAAAGTTAACATCTTCATCATAATATCCATTATCTTTCTGCATAGTCCTGTCATTTGTTTCAGCTTCCACGGAACAGGCACAGTTTATAAAGTGTATTTGGGAGCAAGCTCCGTTGTAGAATTCATGGGGAGATATTTTGGTAAGCAAGTATGTCGTCGTCCTGTAGGGTAACCTTTTTCTAGGACACGCCCTCTTTTTCATGGGTAGAGTCGTCATAGAGTCGGCAGATGTGTCCGCTTCAAAATGTGTAGTGCTTCAAAATAAACTGGTTCTTTTCTGGCTTATAGATATGAAAAACTGCCACAACCATTTTCTTTTTTGCTAACCCATTGATGCCCACTTATATTTTGGAGAACCATTGCAAGAATCTTCTGAGGCAAGTGTTCAGCCGTAAAGTCCTCTAAAGAAGGGGTGAGGAACCTGTGGTCCACCAGCTAGTGTCTGACTGCCGCTGTTATCAGGAATGATGGGATTTGTAGTCCAGCCAATACTTGGAAGGCCCAGAGCCCCCCCCCAACCATACCCATTTCTGTTTCTAAAAGGGTATATGGATTAGCACCTGTACCTGCATGGTATCATGAATGTCACTTTTTCTCCCTAATGCATGTTGATTGATTTTTATTCATGGAAGCTGTCTCATAGTCATCATTATTTGTATAAAGTATCTGTCATTACTCATAATAGATTCCCCCTCCCAACATATTCTCTTGATCTGAAATTGTGACAATTTGCAACAAAACGTTCAATATATGCACAATATGGAGGCGTGATCAAAGAGGTGGCATAAGAAAATACGAGAAATGTGTTTTCCTTGTAGCAGCTCGTAGTTAGTGCCACATCAAATGAGCAGCATTAGTCACAAGCAACATTTGGTTCCTGGCAGTTAGGCACAGATCAAATGGCTGAGCACTTCTGAGTGCATTATCACAGTTAATTTCTATGAGGTTCTGTCAAATGCAAGCGTGGATATTCTAATGGGCAGCTTCCAAATGCTCTTTCGAAAGCGAGACCTTTGCATTGTTCAAACTCCCATGCTATCCTTTCCCACTTCCTATGTCAACTTTGCTTTTTGCCCTCTGCTGTCAAACCAGCAAGGCCTCAGCCTCCTCAGTTTCACAAGTCCCTCACTTTCAGCTGCTCCTTAACTGATGATGGAGGGATCGGGCATCATTTACCTGCCTACTAGTGACCTTTTGAGTGGGTACAAATACCAAGGAACTCTTGGCAGCACAAACTTTTCCTCCACAAGACAGTCTCAGGCTAAAGCCACATCCAGACATCAGCACCCCATGAAACTGAGAAGATGGAAAGTACATTGGGGTAAGGTGGGTGGCTTTCCCTCCAGGATACATAAGACACACACACACAGTTGGAATCCAGCCATGCAGGTGGTACATCTTGTGCTAGCCTCTGTCAACCAACCATTGCTGAATCATCCTGGCTTCCAGACAGTGGTGACTTGAAGCCCTGAAACAGGCACCTGGCTGTGACCTCAGCCAAAACAGAGCTTGAAGGATACCGCAGCACCACCGCAGTGAGTGCTGGCTTCTGCAACAGGCTGTGAAGAATTCCCTCTTAGCCCTGAGGAGGAATCATCTGCAAAGTTCTTCACCACCTTTTCCTAAGGTGGAGGCTCCAGATTGGAGCACATCCTACATTTAACACAGGGAAGTTCAAAAATAGTCTTCCCATTGCAATTTAACTTCCTTTATGGCTATAAAGGGATGCGAGTGGCGCTGTGGGTTAAACCACAAAACCTAGGACTTGCCGATCAGAAGGTCAGCAGTTCGAATCCCCGCGACGGGGTGAGCTCCCATTGCTCGGTCCTTGCTCCTGCCAACCTAGCAGTTCGAAAGCACGTCAAATGCAAGTAGATAAATAGGTACTGCTCTGGCGGGAAGGTAAACGACGTTTCCGTGTGCTGATCTGGTTTGCCAGAAGTGACTTAGTCATGCTGGCCACATGACCCGGAAGCTGTACGCCGGCTCCCTCGGCCAATAAAGTGAGATGAGTGCCACAACCCCAGAGTCAGTCACGACTGGACCTAATGGTCAGGGGTCCCTTTACCTTTACTTTTATGGCTATAAAATGTGGAATTACTTACCTGGGATTGCCACCTTCATGTCATGGGTCTCCCATGTTCCCACTTACAGCTATCAAGAGAACAGAGAAAGGTGAAGATGACTTGGGAACTTCAACTGGTCTAAATTGCAGCAACCAGGTTACTGCCTTGGCTTCCATTTAGAATGTGCAGGACCCCTGCTTAACCAGCTCCACTTCCAGGCCAGTTCACTTCCAGGCACAATTTAAGGTGTTCACATTAATGTTTAAAGACCTAAACAACTTAGGCCCCAAATATCTGAATTTCTTTTCATTCCTCTTGGATGTTCAGATCAGTGGTGGGAGCCCACATGGTAGTTGTGTGGCAACCGTAAGTTTGGAACGTGGCAACTTGGAAAAGGGCAGCCCCTAAAACATTAGAATCCTTCCCCAGAGAGGTGCATCTGACACCTTCATTTGGTAGTTTCCATCCTATGCTGAAGACACGCCTCTTTACCCTGGCCTTTGACACCAGACTTCTCTTTATTTTACGACCCACCCTATTCTTGTGTCTTTTTAAATATTGTATTTTGAAATTGCTGCAACGTGCCTGCGACCTTATGGTGAAGCATAGTAAGAAATCAAAAGAATGAATTGATGATGATGGTTCCCGTGGCAAGTAATTATACTGGCCTTGTTTGTATTAGAACGAATATTTTGAGGGAAAATTTCAAGGGATTGAATTTACTACTAGAGGTTTACTGATGGGTTGTTTATATGCCTTAATTTTAAACACAGTATTCCACTTCTAAGTAACAGGATACTCTTATATGGCCTTTTTATTGATGTCTAGGAAGAATGTAGCTCCTAGTAAATTGTAGCGATGTCTGTGGTCATATATAGCGAGATCTGCTGTTCATGCCATAGAATTCAAGACCTATATACTCAAAAGGCTGACTCCCACTACAAACCCTGGCTGGCAACGGTCTCTTAAATATACTACCTATGTGCCAAATTCAACCAAATCAATGTTATTCACAGCTTCCCACCTCTCTGTTACTCATGAGGATTTGCCAGTGTCCAAGTCTGGATATTTTGCTCCTTACAGGGCTGTTGTGACAGTTACTAAAATAATTCACACAAAGAACAAAGCACTGAACATTCAAAAATTGTTACATGCATTCTTATTATTGACACACAGTATCATTATCCTCCCAAAAGCATGTATTTAAGGACATATAAGTCAAACTTTTCGCATTCAGTTGCTAAAGAAACTCCTGAAGTATTACTAAACATGCTTTCAGCAGTCATTGGACCCAAAACAAAGCAACACAGAAGTAACACAAGTAGACTCCAAGTGGACTCTGGTCCATGAAAGATTATGCCATAATAAATTTATTTTCTCCAATAAAAATAACTCCCCATATAAAATGAGGAGCACAGTTTCAAACTTCTGTGTCCCTTGACTGGGCTCACAGGCTGTGTCTTTCATCATGCCATGTCAGAAATGAACACTCACACAGAGCAGTTTATTATGTCAAATGAGACATCTGCTGCTTGTTTGGATGGCAAATTGGCAAGTCTTTAATATTGTCATATTGATCCAAAAAGACAGTAAACAATGAAGTGGCCATGGAAAC